TTAAGTATGAGATATTATTCATCTGGTGGAGTCACCATTTTAACCTTGTTTCTTTTCAATTCGCATATACCTTAACATATTGTATTGAAACAAGTGCACAATCAAAATGACATATTAGTTAACACATATACACTTATATTACCAATACATATACCTTAACATACTGTATCGAAACTAGTGCACAATCAAAATGACATATTAGTTAATTTGCTAACATTTTGTATAGGGATGGCAACGGGGCGGGGCGGAGACGATTTTTGTATTCCCCAAACCCAAACCCGAATTCTAAATAAATCCCCGTTCCCCGTCCCGAACCCTAGCGGGGATGAATAATTGAACCCCAACCTCGTCCCAAATGGGATCGGGGATTCCCGCACCGCCCCCAAACCCAAATCCTGCCTCAAACCCAAATTTTTCCCCGAACCCAAAACCTGTCCCAATTTTAAGAAATATTAACTTGCATTACAAAAATAAAATACAATCTCGAAGAATTTCAAACATATATTTTGAATTATAAAATACAAACGAAAGTATTAATTCATTAATCATACAATTAATATGTCAAATTGATAATCAGCGACTAATCAACGAGAATATGATTTTATAAAAAATATTATGATTTTTTAAATAATAATAATAATAAACGGGGCGGGTTCGGGGACGGGTTCAGGGTGGGTACTACAGTCCCCATTACCCGCCCCGTCCCCATATTTAAAAATCGGGGAAAACCTAAACCCAAACCCAGTCAAAGCGGATTTTCCCCGTCAAATTCGGGGCGGGTTCGGGTGGGTACCCGCGGGTATGAATTTCTGTATCAAAAGCAACCAAAGAATTTCATTGAAATATTTCTTAATATTATTAGGGGTGCTAATATTAAGGGTGCGTATGGTTGGTTATTTTTAGAAATCAAATCATAATCATTTTAAATCATTTAAATAGTTTGAATTCATAACCATAACTATATTTCAATTAAAATTGGTTATAAAATATTTTATAAATTTAGTTATGATTATATAACCGGTTATTAATTTGTTTTCTAAAAAAATAATTTAATTAGTTTTTAAAAAATAACGTTTTTCCAAAAAATTTAAAAAATTTTATTCAAAAAAATTAAATTATTTTTTCAAAAAATTTAATTTTTTCCACAAAAAATATTTCTTTTTCAAAAATTTAATATTATTTTTTTCACAAAAAAATATCTTTTCCAAAATATTTAATATTTTTTTCTAAATATCTTTTCGAAACATTTTAATTTTGGATAATAACCAGATTATAATCGAATCAAAAAATAAAATATCGTTGGATAACCAACTATTATAATTAAACAGGTTAATAACCATTTAATTATATCCGGGTATTTTTAATAAATTTAGATTTGGTTAATATTTTGAATCTCACAACCGGATATTTTGCACACCCCTACTTAATATAATACCATACTCTACCAATAACAACATAGACTCAAAATTTGGTGACAAGGGGAACTGGAGTTTTGAAAAGACCTATTTAATAGAACTAAAAATCTCTACTTTTTTATCCTCCCTTGTTGTCCAACTCTAAACAAAATATGTATAAAATCTTTAACCAATTCTAACTCAAATCTAGTTTCAAACTTGCATAGCAAAAACAGTTGAATTTAAGTTAGACTTGGATGATGTTTTACGATGCCAAGGGCGAGTTTGTGTTCCCAATGATGTAGAGTTGCAAAAGTCTATCCTAGAAGAAGCTTATAAAAGCAAGCTAAGTATTCACTCCGGTATGACAAAGATGTATCAAGACTTAAAAGAGAGATTTTGGTGGCCACATATGAAGAAGCAGGTGCGTGATTATATGACTTCATGTTTGACTTGTCAAAAAGCTAAGGTAGAACATCAAAAGCCAGCAGGATTAATGCAGTCTATGGATGTCCCACAGTGGAAGTGGGATAGTATTTCCATAGACTTTGTTGTGGCATTACCAAATACCTTGCGAAAGTTTAACTATATATGGGTGATTGTAGACAGGATGACAAAGTCAGCTAACTTTATACCAGTGAGAACCAATTATAATGTGGCCAAGCTAGCAGAGATATGTTGAAGAAATCGTCAGACTCCATGGAGTATCATCTAACATTGTTTTAGATAGAGATCTAAAATTTACTTCTCACTTCTGAAGAGCATTGCATGAAGCTTTAGGTACAACCTAAAACCATCGGCTAGAGTTATGAAGTGAGAAAATTTGGGAGAGAATATAGAAGAATACCAGCAATATGATCATAGTTACATGAATCAATTATCTAAAGATTTTGAATGTTATAAGATTGAGATATAAAGGATGCACAAGCATGAACAATAATGGTAGTCGACCTATGAGGTGATTTTCCTATAAAAAAAACATGAAGAGAGTAGCATATCTTTTGAGTGTGGTTCATTCTCTTGCAATATGTGCATTGAGAATGATCCTTTTTCTTAAAAAAAACTGAGTGGACTAGAAAGCACCAATTATAGATAGAGATAAAAACAATGAAAGTATCAATGACTTTTGGACTGAAGAATTATTGTTTATATTATTTAACAAATCAAGAAATATTCAAAGAGTCTACTAGATCATAAGTAAAACCCCTTAACAGAGAAATGAATCGACTCTTGATATCATATTTAAAAACTTTAATAAGAATTAATAGATTTATGAAATGCTTTAGAAATTTGCACACAATTAGATTGTTAGAACTTCTCATACGGTGATACGAGTAACAATGGCTACTAATTTCAACCTTTCATAATTGTTATTAATTCCAACACATTTAATATAGTATGTCTAAATAAACTAAATTGATTAATATTCAAGTTTTGCATTTAAATTTTCTCTACAATGTCAAGTTACTTGAAGCTCCAATTGCAGAGAAGCATGTTCGCATGTTCGAACTCGCCTGGTGGTATAAGCAGATAAAAAAACAATTAAGTCGACAATCAAAATCAAACTAAATCGGGGGAAAATTGATATTTTGATTTGAACCGATGAAAACCGAGGTGATTTGGTTTGGTTTTTGGACTATAATTACTCATTTGAACTTTTTTTCATTCCATTATTAAGCTCAAGTTTTACATCGGTCCAATTCTTCTTCATCTTTGTTTAAGTTTAATTTCTTTTAGCAATACACATAGAAAGTAGAAACTCTAAGTTACAAAAACTTATTCTCACCGTATTGTTGCTCTCGTCAGTTGTCACCATTGTTTTGTTTTGTTATTGTTGTCTTATTCATGTTTCAAATTCTCTCGATTAATTTTCATACATTTTCTATACCTTCTCTTTGCTTTTTCTTCAACAAAGTTTGTTCGGGTCATGTTGCAAAATAATTTTAAAATGTGTTTAAGATGTGAAACATGTTACTTGTATTGTAATTTTTTTAATGTTATTATTTAGTTTTATTTGTTCGTGTATTATATGGATTAAATACAACTTAAAAATTGTCTAAAATGTAGAGTATGAAATATATTATATAAAGTGTATTATTTGCAAAAATAATACTAGACAATAAAAAAAGTTATAGTAAAAAATGTATTATTTGCAAAAATAATACTAGACAATAAAAAAAATTATAGTAAAAAATACACGTTTAAAAAAAATGGAGTAAACCGATCAACCGAACCAAATTGATAACGTTAATTCGGTTCCGTTTTTCAAAAATACTAATAAAAATCAAATTAAATCAAACCGATGAAACTATCTTCAATTCAAACATTTTTTTCACCAAAAACTTGACCGATTACACCCCTAAACCTGCTGCATCTTCCTTATTCAAGAGGAACATATTAATATGTTTTTTGTAATTTACTTAAATTCAAATACTATAAAGTCAACATTTGACATATTCAAATTCAAATAGAAAAACTGAATTTTTCACCTAAATAACCACCTTTTCACACTAATATATCCATTCTACCCAACATTTCAAATTATTTTCCAATCTACCCTAGTTTGGTTTTTTTTTTAATTTTTTTAACAAGGGGGCGCCATACCCATTGGAGCCTCCCTTAAACGAAAATTTAAAAAAAATTTTAATGTTTAATTAATTTAAAAATATTTAATAAATAATTATTAATAAATTAAAATTTTTTTAAAAATAATAATTTTGTAAATAAATAATAATAATTAGTATTTTCATATTTTTAACAATTTATAAATAAATAATAATTAAAATTTTCATTGATAAATTCTAAACAACAAATAAAAATTAATTTTGATTAAATAAATTTAATCACATACAAATGGCTACATTTGAAAGATCTTGTACACTAATTTCTACGACTCGGTCGATTTAAATGTCCGCCCGTACCGCATCCTCGATTACGCACGTTTCTTGGTGGTCGTTGTGGTGGAGTCGGGTCCACCGTGTCGTCATCAAGCATTTGTATCACTTCGGCCCATGCAGACGGATCCATATCCGTTAAGTCATCCAAATCAAAAGAGTTGCCCATGCCTTCATAGTTAGTTTGGGGTGGTTGGCTAGACGAGGCAATTTCAGGACGATAGCCTGCCTGATCGTAGGGTGGGATGGGTGTAAATGATTGGGTGGGTATTGGTTGATTGGGTGTTTGAAACTGGGAGTATGTGTGGTATTGTGGTGGATGTTGTTGGTATTCAGATTGTGAATGAGTTTGTGTGAATGGAGTGAATTGGTTAGGAGTATGTTCATATGGTTGTGATTGCGTGAGTGGGGGTTGGAAATAGGGTTGGGTGGGGGGTTGGAAATGGGGTTGGGATGGCGGTTGGAAATTGGGTTGGGTTGGCGGTTGGAAATAGTATTGGGTTGATGGTTGGCATTGAGGTTGGGTTGGCGGTTCGAAATAGGGTTGGGATGGTTGTTGGGGCCTTGATGATGAATCTTGTTGGCGTGGGTCATTAAGATACCTTGGATGTGAAATGAAACCAATTGATACAGACCTATACCAAGTCATGTATTGTAAAGATTGTTTCATTTCGTATGGAAACACGTTGTCGGACAAAACGTAGTTGGTGCGATGCCTCCATTCACGACACTCGTGTTTTGCATACTTGGTCCACGGATTATATTCCCATTGATCGGAGACTTTACCGTTGTGATATTTGTCTGGTATGCACTTTGGGGGACATGGAATATCTTGAAGCATTCCAAATTGAAGTTTCACACGGTCACTGTTGTGCATTTCGACGGTGGTGAAGTTTCACACATTGCTCAGAATTTTATGCGGGACATTAAAGACAGAAACCTCCGTAAAAAAGTTGTGAACGCTGCCTATGCCTTAAACCAACCATCCTTCATGTATTACCGAGAAGAAATAAGGTTGTCAAACGCAGAAGCATTAAGGTGGGTGGATAATATTCCAGTCGAGAAATGGACTAGGTCATTTGATGGAGGGTGTAGATGGGGTCACATGACCACAAATCTTGTAGAATCCCTAAACGGCGTATTTAAGGGAACTAGGAACCTCCCCATCACAGCGTTGGTAAGGGCAACGTATTACAGATTGGGGTCACTATTTGCAGCAAGAGGCAAAAAATGGAGCGCTGTACTGCAATCAGGGCAAATATTCAGCGAATCAAGCATGAAGTATATGAGGGATGAAACTTCTAAGGCGGCCTCACATCGAGTTAGACCATTTGATCGTCATGATTACAGCTTCATTGTTGATGAGACAATGGATCACAACGAGGGTCGGCCAATGGGACACTATAGGGTGGAACTTCATAAAAATTGGTGCGACTGCGGAAAGTTTCAAACCTTCCGCATGCCTTGTTCACATGTCATTGCCGCATGTTCAACTGCTCGTCAGGATCCATTCTTGCAGCTATCAGAAGTTTACAAGGTCGTCAACTTATTCGGTATCTACAGTAGCAGTTTTCCAGTGGTAGCTAGTGAGGACTACTGGCCAACCTATCATGGAGACACAATCTACCACAATGAAAATATGAGAAGAAACAAAAAGGGTCGCCCCAAAAGCACCCGAATCACAACTGAAATGGATACAGCTGAGAAAATGGAAAGACTGTGCGGAACATGTCGTCTTCCAGGGCATACGAGGAAAAACTGTCCAAATGTTGGAACAAGTTCTAGGTAGATTTAATTTGGTCTTTAAAATTTCTGTAATCCTGCAATTTAATATTTATATCAACTTTTCATTACCACAAACAGAATTGAATTACTTCTACAGCATAAAACGCAAATCATTAAAATACAACGATTATTACAACATAACCTAAGATATAACAACAATCAAAGTAATATCATCAGTTCCGAACATCATAGACCTAACTTCGTTGTCATCTCTAATTCGCACCCAGTCACGCCGTATGTTTCCGTCTTCAACAGAAAAGTACGAGACAAGTCTTTCAATACTCCTGATTCTTTGACCATTTGGAATGTCTCCTTCTAGCCACCGATTCAAATTTCTTCGTAGTTGTTCTAAACTCTGAATGTTCCAAAACAACATTCTTATCGGAGGCTTCGTCGGAGAAAAAATTACATGCCCGTATCTTCTAAGGAACATGACTCACTCTTCTAAATTTGGATGAAACAATGTTATCAACATGTCTACCTATTTATAAAAAAACATTTGGAAAACCATAATATAATATTTTAAAAAATTAATTTCGTTTACAAGGAGGCTCCATAGGGGATGGCGCCCCCCTTTAGGGCATTTAAGGGAGGCTCCAATGGGTATGGCGCCCCCTTTATAATTTGTAGGGAGGCTCCAACCCCCATGGCGCCCCCTAACAAGTTATAAGGGAGGCTCCATCCCCCATGGCGCCCCCTTGTTAAAAAAATTAAAAAAAAACCCAAACTAGGGTAGATTGGAAAATAATTTGAAATGTTGGGTAGAATGGATATATTAGTGTGAAAAGGTGGTTATTTAGGTGAAAAATTCAGAAAAACTAGTGCTCTGGAACTGCAGAAGCAACTGCATATTCGTACTATTTTGAAAACACACATTTTTTTGACAGATTCCAACATCCAACACTATATAAATACAGTTTTTCGAAAAAAAAATTCACTCTTGTAAAAAACAAACATAAGATCGGAGAGCGTTTGTATTCGGTGTCCGACCTACAATGTCGTTTTTTGTGTCAAAATATCAGCTCTCCTTTGAAAATGAGAGCATAGATGTAATTCTACAGCAACAATTTTCTAATACAGCACAGAAACAATAGAATCTAGCACTTTTCTTCAATCTCATCCTATATAATTGATTACAAGCTTAAATATGAAGAAATCTTCATGCATTTTCAAATGTACTATGTGCATTTTCAAAGGTTTTCTATGTTGGCAGGAGAAAAAACAAGTCTCCAATAAAGCAAGTGACAGAAATTCATCATCTATGCTTTCTCTTCTTTGAACCCTTGCCCCCTGAGAAAAATCCTGTGGCATATTGTGAATTGATAAGCTCCCTAGGTATAGCCGCCGCACCCGACTTTAATACGTCAATTAACTCTGCAAAAACATTCTTATTCTCATCATTTACAAAAACTATGGCTTGACCTTCCTCTCCCATTCTAGAAGCCCTTCCTATTTGATGCACATACTCCTTAATGGAATTCGGCATGTCGAATACAATTACTTGTCTTACACCCAATAGATCGACCCCCCTACCCAAAACTCCGGTAGCCACAACTACCGGGAACTCACCGACCATGAATGACTGCATTATTTTTCGCCTTTCAGTCATTGACTTCTCGCCGTGAATCGAAACAGCTTTCATTCCTGTTGAAACTGTAATTGCATTTGCAAGTAGATCTGCCCCGAGTCTCGAGCCAACATATATTACAACAGGTGGCTTAAAATGTTTCTGGCTTGTTAGAATGTCAAACAGTTTTTGCTTCTTTTGTTTCGACTCGACCCAAATAGCTAGCTGCTTCACGGCCTTATTTGGTCTGTTAGGTTCGCCGACGGTTATAATCACTGTATCTTTTGCGAGAGAGTTTGCCATCTTCTCTAAAGAATCAGACATTGTTGCCGAATACATTAAGACCTGAGGTTGCGACAAAGCCGTAAATATCTCTAAGACCTGATCTCGAAAACCCCTTTGAAGCATGCAATCCACCTCATCGACAACAAAAGTCGTTACGTCGTTTAAGTCAATCTCATGCTTTGTTAAAAGATCAACGAGCCTTCCCGGTGTTCCGACAATCAATTCGACTCCTTGTTGAATGCGGTAGATTTGTCTAGCCATTGCATCACCACCAACCACAAGTGCTGTTTTAAACGGCAATCCTTTTCCGAGCAATTTCGCATGCTCTTCAACCTGTATACTTAGCTCTCTTGTAGGTGTTAACACCATAGCTAAAGGCTTTTTCTTATCTGAAACATAAGTCGAACGATGACTCACACAACGAGAAATTATCGGAATAAGAAACGAAGCGGACTTTCCAGATCCAGTATCGGCCAAAACAAGCATGTTCTTCCCCATCGAAGCAGCGGGGATTGCTTGCATTTGTACAGGCGTAGGCATCTCAAATCCAGCTCCTTCGATGTTGTGCAGGAGTTTGTCAGGGAGGTTACAAGAAGCAAACGACAAAACAGGTGCCGATACAAAACCCTTCACATGAATGTCGAGTTTTTTCCTAAGCAATTCAGCCTGACTCTGATCACCTCTCGAAGACGGTATACCAGATTCGTAATCAGTATCTCTAACATAAAAACACTCATCATCTGCAGGTAGTTTTTTAGGTGGTGGAAAATCACCAATACGAGACGAGGATTTCGAAATTCGACATAGTACTGTCTGTTTACATTCCAAACTACAAACGTCATCATCAGTTTCATCACATATATACTCGCCATACCGGCCACAAACAGTACACTTAGGCTCACCTGGTAGAGCATCTCTCTGGTCCTTAGAACTCAACTTCACATCATTTCCTGCATCTAAAATAACAAATAGATAAGCAAGGTTTAAATTAAAGGAACGTGACTGCGATTACAAACATGAAGTATTGAATCTATATTCTATGATATAACCTATGAAAACTCAAATTCAAGAATTAGGAGGCATTACCATTAGGTTGATCGGTTGAGAGCGACGGAATCGTTGATGGGTCATCGTGAATGGGGTTAGAATCAGCCATGTTATTGTTTATGAAATTGTAATCTTGTTTAGGGTTTTGGAAAGTGATTGTTCAATTTTCATGAAGATAAATTAAGGAAACTTGCATATGAAGATCGCCACTTTGCTTCGTATAAACTAAATTAAGGATCGCTGTGGTTAAAAAGATAAAAGGAAGAAAAATTACACCTCCCACCCCCGACAAATTCAAAAGTACCCCCAAATTCTTTTAACTTCTTTTTTATTTAAACATGTGAATGGTAATATATCTATGTTTATTTATACTAAATTATAATTCAATAACATGGTTTACAAAAATTTCCTCCAAATATTCTTTCAATCAATTTATCTATTAATTTTAATTTTATTAGTATTTTGACCCGTTAACTGACTGGAAAATTAATAATCTTGATAAATTATAATAATAGAGATATAATAATTAATTATATGTTTAAATAAATTTTAATATAATATATGTATTTTTTTTAAAAAAATAAATTTATTTATAATAATAAAAATCTAAAACTTTATACATAGTAAGCCAAAACAACTGTGCTAGAATTTTTTAAAAGTAATCTTACATTAGACTTATTAATAATAATAATAATAAATTTTATACTTAAAAAATATATAAAAGACGACAATTTAATAATATGTATATGAAAATAGTGTGGGAGTATCGAGATAATTGATATTGTGAGTAGTGGGAGACTTTTTATATATTTAAAATTATAATTAAAAACTATTAAAATAAAAGAATATAAATAAATAAATATGATTATTATTATAATGGTAAGGTTATTAAATGTCCATTTTAATTATCAAAACAAAATTTAAAATTTTGTGAAGTTGAAATGATTTGTAGAAATTTGTTACATTATGTGTTATATAATATAGCGCTTCAAATGAAAATTAGTTTATGTAAATAAAGATATATGATTAATATTATAAAGATTATAAAAAAAATGTAAATAAAGAAATATGATTAATATTATAATTGTAAGGTTAGTAAAAAGACTAATTCATTAAATGTCCATACAATATCATTGTAAAGTGGATGACGTTCGATATATCTCCTAAAATAAATTTTTGATTCCCTTTTTGTATTGTAAAGATTACATTTATTTAGTCTTTTGGTTGATTTGTGGACTATGGAATCTCAATATTTGTTGAGTTGGTCGTCAAGATAGGTTTTTATTTAATTTTTGATTTATTTAAATTGACATGTCATTTTATAATTAGTTGAAATTGTGTTATACTTTCCATAAGTGTTTTTCATCGTTCGCATCTTCATATTTTTTAGGTTCCATTTCATTTTGGTGCTTCGTTTTTGTATGTTTTTATACGTTTTGCTTCTTCATCGTGTTCTACCTCTTTAAAGTTTACTTCTTCATCGTGTTCTGGTTGAAATGTTTGATTTTTCATCTTCTCTATTTCAGGCTTCCTTCGATTTAAAAATTAGGGCTTGAAAAAATGGGTGGAAGCAAAACTTCATCAATTGGCAACTCAAATGAATTAAGTTTACCTAAATGTGGATGCAACGGAGCAATAAAGATGTGGGTCGCAAACACCATTGAAAACCCCAATAAAATTTTTTAGAGATGTTAAAATGTAAGCATAAGAAGTTTTTAATTTTTTCTTCATTTTCTCTAAATTTAACTCATTCTTATTTTGTACCTAATTGTAGAGTGTGGAAAGTTATGACCTATTTATTTGGGATGATGAAGTTGGACGTGTTCAAGATGAGAATGTAAATCAAAAGATTCCAACAAATTGCAATAATTGTGAAATGATAATGGCTTATTTGAGAGAATTTGGGAAGGACATTGACAAGGATTTTGGGAAGAAATTTGGCAAGTAATTTGGGATAGAAGTCAATTCAAAGAAACATAAAAGACAAAGAATGAACTTCAAATGGAAAAGAACAAACGTCAGTGTTTGATGGTAGCACTTATGTTGTCTTAGATTTTGTTTTTCATTGTCTACAAGTTCATGTAATATGTAGTGTATAAACTGACATTGAATCAAATTTGATGTATGAATTATCATTGTATCAATTGCTAATTTATTAATGAAATATTTGGTTTCGGTTACAAGATTGTCTCAAATGACATTAGTGAAATATTTTGTTTTCAAATTCTTATGTATCAATCAAGATTGTCTCAAATGACATTGTGAAAAATTTTGGTTTAGGTTATTTCCAAACTAAAGGTAACACATATAACTAAAAGTGATTGCATAGATAATAAGAAGCACATAAAGTGCACAAGTCATTACAAAGTCACTATAAAATGGCATATAAAAATGCATAAGTTATCACAAAATGTTAACATAAGACATAACCAAGCTTTGACACGTAAACCTACTAGTTGTTACAACACTACACTTTATATCTTTTTCCTCTAAGATTTCATGGATCTAAGACACACACTATTGAATCATGTCTCATATCCATTTTTTCTTGTGTCAAAGCACCTTCATCATGTTATGTTGATGTTATAGGTTGGTCAGAATTTGAACCAGAACCCATAATTGGTTTTTGAAACCATGTGAGCTTCAATATTTCACCTGTTCTTTTTATCAGGTTCACAATCGGTTTTTATATCTTCTTTGAAGGCTTCTGCATAACCTTGTTCTTTTTTTGGTTTGGTTCAGTATGACTTGCTTTAACCATACTTGGTTCAACCTTAACTTGACCCATAATAACCTCAACCTGAATTGCATCAACTTCAACTTGACCTGCATCAACCTCAACTTAACTTGCATTAACCCTAGCTTGAACTGCATCAACTTCAACTTGACCTGCATCAGCATCAACTTGACTTGCATTAGCCTCGACATGACTTGCATTAGCCTCAACATGACTTGCATCAGCCTTGTTCTTCTTTGGCTCAGCTTCAACCTGACCTGCTTTGGGTTTCCTCTATAAAAAAGAAGTTATGTTACAATCAAAACATGACAGTGCAAGCATATAAGAAAAAGTTTTAAAACCATGTATGAAACCCTTCTTACAACCATCAAAACAAAAGTAGAATGATTTAAACCTTGGCTCTAGTGACGGGTTTGGCCTGTCAACATTGATCTTAACTATATTCCTAACATTAAAACTTCTTAACTTAGTAACATATCTCTATAAATTTGCATATTGCTTATTGTCGCGACGCAAAACAAATACGAGCGTACGAATGCTCGAAATAAAATAGAGTTTCCAACGAAGTTTAATTTTTTTAAAGGGAAAACATTGATAAAACCCTAAAAGAACAAAAATATTGTCGTCGCAATCAAATTCAGGTTCAGGAGTTGATCATGTGTGGGGAAGGTATTAGCACCCCACACATCTTATACTCAACAGGAGCCGTTTAGTCAGCTTTGCGGATAAGAGTGTTAGCATATGTTATTTGATTCCTTCTAATTATTAAAAGTATGAAAAGAGAAATAATAAAAATAAGTTTTTTATTAGGGTGTTTGACGAGACGTTGGATCTCACTTTTACATTTCCTTCGATGTGATGAGGAATTCAAAGCTATGTAGTTCTTTGCAAGAACACATAGATTTTTTATTATGGTTCTTGATAAGATGTAAGTCTTGTTCCTACGTATCCCCTGGTGTGATGGAGAATTCAAAGCTACATAGTTCTTTGGAGAACAAATAAATTTTTTAGGCAACATTATACCCGAGGTCATTTAAGTTATTTTTTTGTAACAGGTTAGTCCTTTAAGTTTTTATGACGATTTGGTCCTTTAAGTTACCAAATGTGTGCATTGTTACCCTTTTTAACAGAGTGAACGCACTAATTGTGGTTGCAATTATTTTGAGTGGTATGAAAATGATAAAGTGCAATCTGAAATACAATAATCACGCATTTCAAATGTTCAAAATGTGAGAAAAATGATGTAGAAATCACCCTAAAGGACCAAGTTGTTATAAAAAAAAACTTAAATGACCAACTTATTACAAAAAAATAACTTAAAAGACCTCTGATGTATATTTGCCATATTTTTTTATTATGGTGATTGACAAGATTATGAATCATGCTCCTTGTATCGCCAGGTGCGACGGGGAACTCAAAGCTACGTGGTTCTTTGTAGAAAAAGTTTGTTGGTTGGTTGATTTTAGTGAACGATGCTTAGGTCGCATTCAAGAGATTAAACATTGCTTATTGCTCGCACGTGGGAGGATGAACCGTTATTTGTTTGCATCAGAATGGGTCTCGCTGTTAGACAATAGGCTTCGCTCTAGAGGGGTGAATAGATCACAAGTTTAAAACTAAAAACTCTTGGAAAAATTTTATTTTCAAAATGAAATTCTGGCATGGCAGATTGCAAATGTCCTAACAACATGTCAAGACATTATTCTTTGCATAACATTAAAATAAGGGCAGAATAAACAAGCTGACACTCTGAATATCAGCAACAGAATCATGATAGATGTTTCAACATATGTTATAACATGTTAATCAATAAGAAAATATTGAAGTGTAAATTTGCATAATGATAAATAACACAAGATATGTTAACCCAGTTCGGTGCAATTAACCTACATTTGGGGGCTACCAAGCCAGGAAGAAGAATCCACTATCAGTAGTATAGTTTTATGTAAGCAACGTCTGGTTTACAGTAAACAACCTCTGGTTTATATATCATTACCCAATGAAAAAATTATCATTAGAAATCACATCTAATTGATAAGAGAAACCCATCTCACTCCCTTTAATCACTTTGTGTGATATCTAACAGTTATAGTCACGATAATTGTATCATTCTACTTGAAAGACCTCTCTTTCAATACAAAGTTCAGCCAAGCAACCTTGACTAACAATCCTACTTGGCTTTGCTTCAAAGCTTCATCCAAGAACAATATATAATTCATTACCTAAAGGTTTCTGAATCTATATAAACATCTATGTCTACCACGATGTATCCAACCGATACAAAGGGAGACTTACAACACAAGAAAGCTTACGACTCTCAAAACCATAAACCCTTATTTTTTTAATTTATAAGTATTACATAAGGATTAGTT